TGCTGGTTGTTTGATATGAAACTGTCTGGTTGATTCACATGGAAATGCGTAGTGGTCCGGTGTACCTTGCAGGCCACATTCACATTGATCACTATCCCTAAGTCCAAAACGATGTAGATAGTCTGGGAAAGGACCGTATGCTGTGAGGAATGTCGTTAGTGTTGAAGAGTGAGACAATATATTTGTGGAGACGCTGTGGGAGAAACAGAAGTGTTCCAGCGGTACTGCTATTGCGATATTAAGGCCTGCTGCGTTATTCTTTTGAGATGGGAGTCAGGGAGCGGCAGGTTGTACTCTGGTAGATGGCGGCCGGTGGCGGCTTCTTTAGCCTTGGTATCTGCATACTCGTTCCCTGCGATGCCAGTATGAGCTGGTATCCAGGATAAGTTAGGTCTTATGTTAGGTGATATATGCAGTAGCAGCTTCTGGATTTAGGGGGTTTGTGCTTGATGGGCCAGCAATGGCCTTTAGGCTGGATCGCTATAGACGAATACTTGACTCTAGAAAGCGTGTGAAAGGTATATCCCTTTCCTAAGCGCTGCCAGTTCAGCTTGGAAGATTGAATTATTTTCTCCAAGTCTTCTTCTCCAGCTGTACAGTATCTCATTTGCTTTAAGTACACAAAGCCCACTGCCGGTCTCTGAGTCCATTCTCGAACCGTCTGTGTAAATTTCGAAGCTATCATTAGGAGGTGAGAAGTTACATCTTCAATATTAACTGTGAGGTCATGATGGCAGGTGAGACACTTTACCCTCATATTCTGCCTGCAGGTACATTTTGTTCCAGAGCTTTTGGTCGATTCTAAGCCTGAGGACGCAGGTGATAGTCGCTTCTCGCTACGCCGGAAGATCCATCGAAGGGAGGCCCGTCAGTATCTGTAGAGCTGCTGTGGATGTAGTCCTATAACCTCTGCTTATGCTGAGGAAGTGAGGACGTTGAACTGAGTTAAGTAGTTTACGCTCATGCGCCGTCAGATTCCTGGCCTGAGCCGTAAAGTAGGATTCTCTGTGTTACCACATTGTGCCATTCTTTGAGGAGTCTTGATGAGACTTCCCATGCTGATGATGCTGTGCGTTTCAGGTGGTTGTTCAGTTTATTCGTTTCTTCTCTGACATACTTGATGTGAGATATCCAGAATAATCGATGGTCAACAATAATGCCCAGATATTTCAGCTTTTGTACTGTTTGGATGGAGGTGTCTTGTAGCTTCAAAGATGGTCTCCTTTTCAGAGGGCCGTTTGCTCCAATAAGCAAGGCTTGCGTCTTGGTGGGGGATATGACGATCTTATGCTTTCGTGCGCATGCACTGAAGTGATTTAAGTAAAAAAATTGGGCTGCGGATTCAATTTTGGATCTTCCTTTTACGATCATTAAAAAGTCATCCGCGAATGCTATTAGTTGACAGTCTGGGATGTCCCGGAAATCTTTGAGGATGGTATGTGCCACTAGAAACCATAACATCGGCCCTAGGCACGATCCTTGTGGGCAACCTCTTTGCAGCTGTTGTGTGATTAATCCGGAGTCCATTGTGGCCTGAACTGAGCGGTTGTGGAGGTAGCTAGCAATTAGATCCCGGAAATCGGCTGGACATTCCATTGCGGTCAATGTCTCTACGGTGTCTGGCCACCACAGGGAGTCAAAGGCTCCCTCTGTATGTCTAGACTTATGATTAGTGAGTGTTGCCCCTCGCTTCTGTTCGTTTTAACCTGCAGTAATAACTTGTGGATAGCCTGTTTGAATGAAGTAGTAATGATAATCTGTTATCATTCCAGAGAGTGGAAATTAAGGTTATAGGTAATTAAGGGTATAGGACGGGATCGAAAAGTTCATTCGCTATATTCGGAATGTCGTTTTTAGCCAGGATCGTTATAGTGAGGTTTGACTGAGCACTCTTTTCTCCCTTTGATACCTAAGTTTCTTTTTCTTCACATTTGGTGGTTTGTTTTCGCATTATGCAATATATAGCAATTTTTTAACTTTTTAACTAATTTAATATATAGCAATTTTAGTATACTTTAAGAGAGAAATCTGTTTTCATATTTCATTACCTTTATAATGGAGCTATTTAGAAACGCAGAAATGTAATTCGGAGGCTACAGGTATCAGATATTGTTTAAAAAAATCGTTATATATATGACTTTGTAAGTAAAGTTATTCCTCGCAAATTTCATTGAGAAATACATCAGTTGTATTAAATAACTCCTTTATTTACTTAAAAGTAAAATGTGACAAATTGTAATGAATGTTTGTTTTAACAGTTCTTACCATTCAATTAGCTTGTCGTACTTATATTGAAATATGGTAGGAAAGAGCGTAGTAAAATATTTAAAGAGAAATCACAAATATGCATGGGGAGGGCGCCGTAATGATAGGAATTAATCTTTTCTGTAGTTGCTTGTGCTAGGAAATCTTGAAGAGTGTTCGTAAAGATTTTTGTAACATTCTCGTTATCATCTGTGGTTTTAAGAGAACCCAGACTTATGGGTGATGTAGTTGCGAGGTTATAAAGTAATTTCCAATCCACAATTTTTCTTTTCATTTTATCTTCTGGCTTGCTGCATCCCAACCTTGCCATTACGGGGACATGATCTGAGGAAAGTTCTTGAATTACTTCAACAGCAAGAGATATGTTAAAATTTAGAGATAAAAATCAAGAGTATCAGGTTATTTGCGAGGAGTATTTGGGCGGTACTGTAGACTCTTCGGGTGTGAATAGGAAGATGGGATTATTTTCAACGTAGTCTCTGATGGTATGACCATTTGCGTTGCTATGATTGCAGCCCCAGTCCACATGTTTTGAATTAAAGTCTCCTCCAATGATTGTGGGAGCTGAGTCTTGTAGATAAAAGTGTAGATCATGCGCTGAGATTCTGTTATCCGGTGGGTTATAGAGTGCACAAATTTTTGTATGTCCGATTTTGGGTAGTACAACATTAACACAGATGATTTCAAATGCTTTTGTATTATCCACAGATAATAATCCTGAGCAAAGAGTTCTTTTCACATAAATTGCAACACCTCCACGACGGTGTCTAATTTTGTCGCATCGATAAGTGTTGTAATTTGCTATATTGATGTTGTGCTTCGAATTTGCATGTGTCTCAGTGACAAGGCAGATATCCACTTCATGTCGAATTAAAAAGTCCTGAAATTCAGGTATTTTTTGTGTGATGTTCTGTGCATTCCACAGAGTAATGGTGAGAGAAAAACTGTGATGAGAATTAGTCATGATTTTTCTGGAGAGGCATGACTGAATTTTGTGCAGCAGCAGCGTTGAGCTGAGTAGTTGTATCCTTCAGAATGGAGATAGCAGCCGTAAGGGTTGCTATCAATGATTTGGCCTCTTCTAGCTTTGCTGAGAGCTCGGCAATTTCAGGTGCGTGCCTGCTTTGGGGTGGCTGAGCACTATTCATGATGACTCTGTCCGAATACAACGTTTTTCCCTGTGAATATTGCCGGGGCTTGCGGAATTAGTTACATCCACGAAATGATGCTGTGTGATTTGATTTAAACCACAGTTCGCACAGGTGGCTGTCTCGTCTGGTGATTTAGTGCAAGTTTTGGATTCATGCCCCTGTCCGCACTTTACACACCGCGGAGGGATGTGACACTGTGCTTGAGCATGGTGAAAGTTTTGACAACGATAGCACTGAGTGGGGCCTCTTCTGCCCCTGTAGGTCTCAACTGTGACACGAAGTCTCATCAGGTATTCCAGGTCTTGAATGGCCTTGTCGCTTTTTGGCACTATGACGAGATATAGAGGCATCTTTTGAATTTCTGTACCTCGCTTTCTTGTAAGTTGGACGACCTTATTAATCTTGTATCCAAGGTTCACAAGGGCTTCACCAACCTCTGTTGGAGGAGTATATGATGGAATGCTACGGATAACAACCTTTAGCAATTTCTCATCCGGCAGCATATGCATGTAATACTTGATTTCTTTTTTATCCGGTAAGGCGGTGATCTGCCTATACATATCAGTATTGAAGATTTTTATTTCGAAGTCATAGTCGCTTTTCCTTTTTGCTTTAAAATCCATTTTTTCTTTTTCTAGGAGATCATTTAGTTGTTTCCAGGTGATGGTAGTGTCCTGAACTATAATCGGAGGAATTTTCGTATTTCTCCTGGGACACTGGAAACTGTCCTTGGCTTGGAAATCCTGTGTTTCCATTGGTTTCTGGGGATCTGCATCCTGGTTTCTCATTGGAGGAGCAGGATCCGCGTCCGGCGCCTCGTGGTAAAGGATTTTTCCTCTGATTTAGGCACATCTTGGGCTGCGTCCTGCGGTTTGGGCTTGGGTAGTGGAACTGGCTTGGATTTGGGTTTCTTTTTAATTTTTTGCGATGACGAGGGAGGCTTCGATGAGTTTCCTTCATTGCAGGGTTGGTCAGGATCATCAGAAACTTGTTCCAGGATTGCATATTTGTTGTACGTGTCCGGTTCCGGAGTTCTCAGTCGTTTTCCACTTGCGGTCAGCACGGTACTTAGCATGGCAGTCTGCTGCTGGTTTTCTGCTGAAGGATGATTAGCAAAGTCCGGAAAGGTGGTGGAGAAGAGTGCTTTAAGCTGTCTTAGGTCATTCAGACGTTTTATGTCTGAGTCGAAAAGTTCAGCCTTTCTTGAAGTCCTTGATGTCATGATTGATGAAATCAAACATCGCCTTCATGATATTTGCCATCTCAAAATCAGTAAGATTTAAGCTACGAAAAATAACGGTGCAACAAGATAAAGTAAGAGCGAAAATTCAGACGTCCTACTCTGACTGCGTCTGAGAGTCGAAAAATCGTTGCTCGTTCAAACATGTTCTGCGTGTGTGGGATATCGTTCGCATAAATATTATAGAGAAAAGGCGCAAGTGGCGCCCTCTGGGGGACACTAGCGAACACTTTTGTTTATTTGAATAATTGTTGTTAATGCGAACGACAAAAGTATCTATCTGAAAGATAGGAAGAAAGTGTTGTAATGATGTAGTCTGGAAACCCAGTTTTATTAATTTGTATATGAGGCCATCGAGCCAAACTCAGTCAAACGCCTTAGCTATATCAATAAAAATTGCTGCAGTGCTGGTTTTTTGCTGCAGTCCAGAAGAAAGTAATTCTGTAACTCTATAGAGTTAGTTGGTGAACCGTTGAATGATATTTTTTAAAGCCATATTGTTCTGATATTAATATTCCTTTTCTTCAGCAAAGTTCAGAGTGATTTTTAGGATGATTGATTCGGCTATTTTACTGCAGGTAGGAAGTAGACTTATGGGTCTATATGACTCAGGTTTGCTTAAGGCTTTTTCAGGCTTTGGTATTGGGACAATTATAGCAGTCTTCCATTTGTTTGGAAAATACCGAAAGTCGATTATATACTGGATGATTCTTGTAAGTCTGCAGGTCATCATTAGACCCATATTTTTTATCATCTTATTTGACACTTGGTCGATGCCTGGACTCTTTTTATCTTTCATTTTTTTCAATATAGTTAAGGACGTCTGTCGGATAAATTGCGATGCTATTGTTAGTGCGTGGCTGTGAGAAGAATTGTGTGATAGTATCCATAACTGTTTGTTCTGTGTGTGGGTCAAAAATGTTGTTAGTGATAAATTGAGTAGCATAGTGATCTGCTAAGGACTGAGCTTTCTCAGTTTCTGTGTAGGCGATTAAGTAGGGCCTTTAATTAGCAGAATATTTGTGTGGCATCTTTTGTACCTTGAAGCTGCTTTCCAGAGTGAGTTATCCTCGGTATTAAGATTTCAAGGTAATTAGCCCAGCGTTTACGTGTGTGTTCTTTTGTCGTAGTCCTGACTTAATGATGTAAGGCGTTGAGCAGAAATTTATCATTAGGATGGCGAGTACGTTGCCAGACTTTTTTAGCATGATTTCTCCTTTTGATTAAATCTTTCAGTTGTTTGTTCTGCTTGAGTTTATCTTCAGGTAGGAGTTGGGTGTTGGAAATCTTCTAGTTGTCGTTAGTGAAATTTTCTATTAAATCATCTAACTCATCATTCGAGTGTATTGTGGTGTTCGAGTACTGGGTGTGATTTAGAGCTTTGGTAAACTTAGACCGATTTGTGATAAGGGCTCTCTTGTCTGGTGTGCTATGACGACTGAGTTCCACTTCGATGATTACCGGATTATGATCGGAAGATAATTCATCAAAGGAAATTATACTGGATGGATATTGTATATTTTTCGAAATGAAAAAGTCCAATGTGAAAGCGGAGTTAGCGGCATAGCGTGTTGCCGTGGGCGAAGCTGCAATAGAGAGAATGCCTGAGGTTGCAAAAATAAATATTTGTCTTCCTTTGAAATTAATTCAGTTGCAATTCTATGCTTGGTGTCTAGCTTTAAAGTCTCCACCAAGACAAGTACTTGCATTCTGAAGTCTATTGTTGAGTTGAAATATCGCTTTAATATCATAAACGACATTAATTGCATGTGCTGTGTTATGTACATAGATGGAGACTAAAGTGAAGGGAGGTTCGGTGGGTGGGATGATGCTAATAGCTACTGCCTCTGTGGCTAAAAGCTGTGGTAGTGTAAGTGGGTAATGAGTGATGGAGCGTTTAATTAGAATAATAACACCTCCGGCGGGTCTGCCAGTATTTGTAGGCTTATCATACCTGTACTGCTCATAATTGGCAATATGGAATTTTAAATTAGGGCTAAGGATGTGTTCTTGGAGAAATAAAACATCAGGACTGTACTCATTCATAAACTCCCTAAGTTCGTTTAGTTTTGGGAAGAGGCCACCTGCGTTCCAGGTGATAATGGTCTTTCGTGGGGGAGTAATTAGTCATGTTGGGTGTTGTTGAGTTCTTCAAATATGAGGAATATAATGTACATTTTCCCATGAATGCTTCTGCATTTTTAATTGTGTTAAATTTTTGTTTATGAGTGATTTCTTAGTCCGAAAATATTTTCGAGTTCTTTAATGGTTTTAAGTAATTCCATAAATCCAGTAAGGTTATTAATATTAGTGTTTCTATTGCTGTTAGATGCTGGGGTAGGTTGTGTATTCTGTGTTTGAGTACGTGGAGTTTGTATAGAAGGGCGAGATTGTGTACTTGCATTCTGATTGGCTGGGGGTGAGGGGAGTAGAGTTCTCTGTGGAGTTTGATTATTATTTGTAAGTATGTCTGCGTAAGATTTTCTAGGCCTTGAAAAGTGTTGTTTTTGGTTTTAGGGAATTATTCGCAACGCCTGTTCGATGCTGGATGTGAATTTAGGCAGTTTACGCAAGTGGGATTATCAATGTGTCCTTTTTGGGGGCATGTAGCAGTTGTGTGTTCCACGGCGCATTTGGCACAATGGGGGGCGAGGAAACAATTTTCGGATGAGTTGTGCCATTTCTGGCAGTTGTGACACTGAGGGATAAGATTTTTGTTAATGTATTTTTCTATTTACACTATGAAAAGTGACATGTGTGTTATGTTGAAAATTTCGTCTATGTTTGGTGAGGGGAGAAGTTGTATTTGGAAAAGAGGCATAAGTTGGCGTGTTCTGTTTACTTGTCATCTCTACTGTTTTCTATACTGTAAATCCTTGTTCTGTGAGTAATTCTTTGATTTCAGTGAAGTCCATATCAATTGGGAGTCCTCTAATGACCGTTTTAATGGGTCTGTGATGTTTTGGGATTATGATGTAATGTTCAATATTTTTGTCTTTGAGATATTTTGTGACTATTCTATGGTCGTCTGAGATGTTAGGTAAGATTTTCAAGAATTCACCGCTGATTTTGCCGCAAAATTTAGCTTTTGTTTGGTCTGCAAGGAATTTTAGGTAAGTGTTAAATTTTTGATTATCTGGTGGCTTGACCATGACCGGTGGAATTGATTTAGATTGAGCTGAGTCTGTGAAGATAGTGTCTATGTTTTGCGCAAAGGTTTGAAGGTTGATTTGTGTTGTTAATTGTATTTGTATGTTGGTGGGTGTAATATTATTTGAGTCCAAAGGACTAAATCTGTTTTGAGTAGCAGTCTCGGTTTGACTATTGGTTTTCTGATTTGCTTGGCGTATCTAGTGGGCTTAATAAAACCATCCTCGTCTTTTGAATTGTCATCGGAGTTATCCGAAATTTCATGCTGCTTTCGTTTAGCATTTATGTTAAGATTAGCATTTAAATTTTTTGCGAGGCTATCTAAGGGGTTCCTAGCACACTGTGAGGTTATAAGTATCTAACTTACTCTTTAGATGCTCCAGCTTCTTTTTCAGGTCTCGGATATTTTTTGCCAGGATAGGAGTATGTTGGTCTGGATCAGAAACTGCTCGTATATCGTCCATCTGGATTTTCAGTTGTGTATTCTGTTCTATTCTTGCTTCTATTTATCTAATTTCGATCGTTATATCCAGAGCGGCTTTTACATAGTCGAAGTCAGAATTATCCATGCTTCCGGTCTCCATTGTTGAGGTATCCATATTCAGTTCGGTCGTATTTGTAGGCAGACTCCAATCTTTAGTTGAATTTTTATCAGGCGGAAGAGCTGTGCCCGAAGGCAAAGGATCGTGACTGTTCTCCATATAACAGAGAAAAGCAAGAGCTGAGCAACATTCACCCACGAAGGCTGAAGGCAGAATCCATTCCAACTGTAAACGAAAATGCTCTTATGTCTTCACTCCGACTTTTCTCAGTGTTCTAAACAAAGGCTTCGCAATACAGGTGTGAGCTTAACTCTAGAAGAATGAGGATACGGTAAGCATATCTTAAGACACCGTATGACGTGCGTGACCATTTAACGAAAGAGCTTAAATGGGGTCTCCGATTCCATTCAAATATTTGACTGAGCTTGTCACATAGATCTCGATTCAAGGAATATTTTGGAAATTTTGAAATTCATGGAAAGAGGAATTGGTGAATCGTTTAAGGTTGGAATTGTCTTTTAGGGAATGAAATTTTGATCCTTATCGGTTTATGTTTATTTTGTTTCAGTTTAAGTGGATTTCAAGTTCTGCCCTGCTAATAAGGATTTTGAATTAGTTAGATCTTTTACGATTCATAGGATATTCTTTATACAAATTTTTGAATATTTCTTTGCAACCATGCATATTTTGGGAAGGAAAAAGCCAGGAAAGGCCAAGCATAAGGATGTTTAAAAGAATAAGGCAGAATTAGGTTAAAAAATTTATATCAAGAAATGGAAATAGAATGATGCTTTGGGTGATATCTCTAGCTAGTACTAAGGTAAAGACATTTTCAAGGCCGATGAAGCTAAACTGTTATATATGATGATGTCAAACCAAACATTAGAGGACCAAAGACACGCTGGCGAAATATGGTCAAAACTGCGAATCATAAATCTTATAGGTTCCAATATAAATCGCATTGTCAGCATAGGCTTTCGGTGATTACAAAACCTCAAAAGCCAAGATGCTTAAAACACTGAAAACTCTGTTTCATTTGAAATTAATCGTAAGGCATGGATGACGTGAAACCTAGAGAAGACTTAGAAAGTGGCATGAAAATCTTTGGGCCAAAAAGCGAAAGTTCCTATTCTTGATTATTTCTCTTCTGTACTGCACATGTAGATTTCAGAAGCTTGGAATAGATTGTTTCCTTTCCGCCGAATGCAGTTTCGATGCTTCAACTTGTTGGAAAAAGTGCATTCAGGAGCTTGAAATGTTATTAAGGAATGCAGCCTCGTTTTAAGCCATTTGAAGAAGTACGACAATCACATCGATTCAGACGTTTCAAATTTTAATAGAATGCTAATGTTGGAAAAGACTTGGTTATTTGCTACAGAATCAACAGTCCGAAATTGTTTTCGTTATCTGGTCTAGGCAGCGGTACTAAGGCGAAAGATGAAATCGAGAGTTTGTCTATTCCTAAATGGCTGGAAAAATGGCTTTTCAGAACTTTTCAGAATATGATATAAAAAGATTTTTCAGTCATGCGATGATAATGTATGATGATATTACATCCGCAGATCCAAATAAGAGGAGCTTAGGTATTGTAATATATTATTTAACTATGTTCCATTAATTTAATTTAGTTACTATTTTTCATTTATCTCTATCAATTTTATTTAATCATAATTAGTAATTATTTATTATTTTATTTATTGATTTTTTTCGCCTATCCTGAGAGCGATTTGTAAAGCTCTGACACATCTGCTTTTGGAAATGAAATCCTACCATAGTATTTTCTCGTTCTCCAGTATTGTAGCTCGGAACATTAATACAGAATTGATGTCGAGGGCTGTAAGAGTGCAGAAGTATCGTCCGAGTTCTCCAACACACAAATCTCACGATGTTTGGTAAAACGTTTTACCAGAATTTCTTGTC